TTTTCCATTGCAATTGTGAAAAAAAAATTATTTGCGCCAAATCCGAAGCGTTTGAACTAAACCAAAATTGAATTGTATGAAATCGATTTTGTCGCAAAAACAAGTATTTTCTAAATTCGATAGAATAAACAAAATATACTATACTATAACAAAATCGATTTCATACAATCCAATTTTGGTTTAGTTCAAATCGATATTTGTGTCTTACAATAGCATTTTCTTTTGCGACTATTCAATCGATGAACGATTTGGATCAATCATAGAATTTCTATTTCTTAGAAAATTTTTTTCTCAGTGTAGAACACCCGTGATCTCAAAGGGAGTAGTAAGTCAAACATTTTTCCGTATTTGCAATCGTTGTATCAATAAAAATTCATGAACAAATGATTTTTTAAAGTATTTTCGATATTGTTTACTAAAAATGTTGTCTGAAATTTTTTTCGCATTTCACGTAGTTGCATGGACTCTTCATATGATACGTGAGTGATTCACAACAAAATTTACTTCGCATATACACCTGATTAATTTTTTCAAAATTTGTTCAAACAAGAAACAGATTTTTATAGGGGAAATTTTTTTTCTGCATATTCCAAACATTTTGAGAAAGATAAGTACTCATGATTTTTGCGCTCAACTCGAAGGTCTGTTGAATGAAAAATGATAAATAAATTCGTTCGTCACTGTTTATTACTTTTTATTTAATAAACGGTTGAGTTGAGAGAAAAAATGATAAGGACTAACCTTCCTTGAAATACCTTGAATATTTAAAGAAAAAAATTTCCATTGAAAATCAACATTTTTTGTCTTTTGTTTAAATAAATTATTAAAAAATAATAGTCAATCCGGTGTACACGAAGTAGATTTCTTTATGAATCCTATCGATGAAGAACTTATGAAACTACGTGAAACGCGAAAAAAAATTCAGTCAATATTTTTAGTAAAAAATACAGAAAATACCTTGAAAAATCATTTGTTTATGAATTTTTAAGACGAAACCGTTGCAAATACGGAAAAATATTTAGGAACTTACGGACTCCTAGGAGTATGGAAATCTTACAGGAATTGTATGCCTGATGTGACGTATTATGAGAAGATTTTTAGAAATTAATAAATGTGTTTCAGTTTTTCTTCAAAATGCTCTTCTAAGAGGGTAAAGAGGGAATGAATTGTAGAAACTTGAAGAAAGTTCGCAAATTTCCTAAAAAATCATACAACTGCGGTTTCTTTTCAAAATTTAAGATTATTTGGGTATTTTTCAACGAATTCAACTATTAAGGCCGCTTGCAGCCGCGGCGGCGCTAGTAGAATAAGTTGTACAGAAAAATCGAATTCTATCGACTTTTTCAACGGAATATTTTCCATTGAACATTTCAATAGAATCGACCCAACACTAATAAAAAGTTCAATAGAAACCCAATAAAATTGTCTAGCGAATTCGCTGGGTTTTTCTGTGAAATTTTTTCATGCGCGACTGATTATGTCACATCTCATAACACGTCACCCCACTGAGCCGTGCACTATCAGAAGTACAGACCTATGTTTTTCTTCAGCTGGATTGAAGATGTTCTCTCGGCGCAGTACCCCTGTATGGCGTCTGCAAACGATAACAGACGTCACGGTTGAAAAGAAGCTGTGATATTGGAGAAGTCCCCATAAATCACAGAAATGCCTCAACAGGTATTCAAAGTCAGTGAGAATAAATCGTGTTTATTTGACTCCCAACGAAGATGTGTAAACATACATATGTACTATGTAAAGAATTGCTATCTCATGAACTTGTTAGTCTGAGGTAAATACTACAGAAATCGAATTTTTACCCAAATTTCTTCCCACAGAAATGACTTCAACTGCTCACCTACACTTAAAAAAATGACTTTCACCAAGAAATCATTTTCTTGGGAGAAAAATTTACTTTTTTAAGAGCGTATTTCTCTACGCCAATCATTCCCAGTTGGTCCATATCCATCTCCTGTCATGTTCGGAATTATTTAAAAACTTTATTTCATTCAAAATTTAATTCTCTTCACGAGTTTAACTTATTCGTTGCCCACCGATTTGCTGCCGATGCAACTCAAATTATCAGGTTGACCACGCATTTTTCTGAAAATCCGCAATTGCCCTGCCTTTTCGGCCACTAAATTCATTCCTTCAATATATTTCTTCAATCTCCGCTTAGGTGCCAAAGTGGCACGTCAATTAGATCGATTTCCTTGAGTCTACACGCGTTCATAACGTCGGAATCAGTTATAGTAAATTGAAATGAAAAATGTTTTTGCTGCCAAAATTCACATGCGTACGAATAGGATTTTGTGGCTTAACGGTCGATAAACTGCAAATTGTTCATTACGTTGTAGTGTCAAATTCTGTATAAAGACACATTCCTATAGTTATTTATGAACTCATAATTTTAAAACTGTAAAATGTTGAAAAGAAATTGAATTATCATAGTGTAAAAAGGTGAACTAAACCATGAAAAAAAATTATGTGAAACAAATGTGAAAATTGGAAATATATTTTCAAAAACTCAACAATTCCTGAGACACTACCTTTGGATTCATCCTACTATTGATTCGTACCAAATTCGTGGAATTATCAATTAATTTCGGCCTTTACTGTTATCAAAAATATTAATTCAGACTCAAAATCTTGAAATCAATATTGTGTCTTTTCACTTGCTTTTACATCGATTGAGCTCTCTCTTCTTCGACTTCTTTTCCTATATCATTAAAATTCATTGAAAACAATAAATATGGTGATTGGTGTTCTTTCAATCTCTCTTCTTATTATTTACAATTCCTGATTGTCATTAATTTCTAAATATCGGAAATCTATCAAATATTGGAAGTAGAAGGATAGATGCAGATGCACCTAGTGCTCCAAAGGGTAAAGATCCACAACAAAAATGAATATAATTTTATTCCGATAGCAGAGAATTGAATCTAACCTATTCAATATTTCATTGAATTTATCACCCAAAATTTCCCTGTGATCGCACTCCAAATATTACAATTATGTTAAATTATGAGACGATTGTGCTACATATAATCTTCAATGAACATCCTTTGTTGCATGGCATTAACGACACTCCTGAGTTACAAATAATTTTACTCAGGTTATTCTAAAATGAGGTTTTTTGTTGTTTTGAAAAGAAACATATTGGAAATGGGGTAATTTTAAATAACTATACTGGTAAATAAGTGAACAGAATTTTCTGTTATTTTATACGCTCGGAAGACACATCCGCTCAGTACCGTTTCTTTAGAGGAACTAACTAACTTGACAAAAGGGATCCAACACCCTGGGTCTGATGACTCCCATTCAAAAGGTCCCACTCATGCATTGTGTTTAGACTAGAAACTAGAAAAACAGAGCATAAACATCATGCCTCAAACTTCTCGGAATTTTCATTCATAAAAATGTTCTTCGATGTGAAGTGGAAACACAAGAGATGAAAGAAATATAAAACATACAAAGACGTATTCAAACCAACTAAAGATTAATTTTTGTTAAGTATTTTTCAACGAAAAATCCAACAAAACATGATATTTAATGGGTTTATATCACTTGAATGTTTAATACGAGTTTCAAAGAATTTTACAATTGATACATCTTTGAATGTTTATTACATTGGATCGGTCACTTTCGACTTCTTATTAAAATATTTTCTTTTCCCTTTTTTTAAGCGATTCCGAGGAAATGATTCCTTACCATAAGTAATTTTTTCCTTCAGTGAAGAAAAGAAGATTTGAAAGAAAATTGAGGAGATGGGCTGGCTTCGCTGTTCGACAATATAATATCCCCCCTCCGTGGCAAGTGTCGGCGTCACGCGCGATTACACGCAGTAGCGTTAATAGAGTCGATTATATCATCAAAATGATGTGAATAACCCTCAATGGATCCACTTACTATCGATGTCTTTTTACACAGTAGGGAGTCTGGTAGATGATGTCGCTTTTTTTCTATCAGATGTTCAGTAGACTTTCGTTATAGTTGCACTCATGGAGAAACAGGGGAAGCGAATTCGGAGAATACGACTGTATTTCGCTACCGTCGCCACACGCTCACACGGGGCGAGATTTCTGAGAAATGGAGCCATAAAATAAAAATACCAATAATGCGATTTTCCTCTCATTGAATTTAACGCTTTGCTGAATCATTTTAATCATTACGTCAACATTTCAATACACATCAACTTTTTGTTATATGTAACCGATTTTTTTTATCAAGAAACTTTTTTTATTATCAAAAAGGTTTCAACCTTCTCTTTTTTTAACTTTTTATCGACAATCTTGCTGTTATTTTCTTCATTCTGATTCATTATCTAATTCACCTTATCCCAACAAAACTAGAACCTCTCTGCAAGGCAGTCTAGAGGGAACTGAATTTCATGATCGAAAATTTATATTTACTGTATTTTATTATTTGACTTTCCTGGAATTGAGAGACCATGCCTCCTCTAAGATAACGTTGGAGTGTTTACTCCGGGACCCGTGGGTAGGAGAATGGGGAAAGTGGCCGACCGACGAAAAATGAATATGAGGGAAAGTGCGACTGTAACGAGTGCGATTATAACAGGAGTCTTCATTGAATCTTACTCTGGTCACCATATATGATCCTATGACTTTCTCACCTCTGCGGGGAGTCGCCGCCATGTTAGGCTCCAGCATTGCCGAATTCATTATACACTGCCCGAAAGCGTTTAGTGAGTTTCCGACAACGTCGCGTAATGGAAAATTTCATGTGACTTGAGAAAAAATCATTCATCAGTTGGAAATAATTTTTCTTTGAGTGTTTCGGGAATTATGTTGTTCTAAAAACTACTGTAACGTTTTAAACATTTCAGTTGAGATATTCTTTTTTTTAAATTTTTCTAATCAATCAGTTAACGGAAATTAGAGAAAAACAACGCGCTGCGGAGTTTCCCCCATGTGGTGACTAATCTAGGGTTAACTGGCTGTAGAACAACTACCGTCACAGGTCCCTTACGATTCTAGGAAACTTTCCCCTTCTGCAATATTAGAAATTGAAAATTTTCCTTTGCGAGGACATTTTCTCAATGCAATTTTAAAAAAAGAATGAAAAAATAAAACTAAACATTTAAAAAATGTAAAAAAGTGCGAATAATTTTTGTTTAATGAAAAATGCATTGGTTCAGTTGTCTAATGAAAAAAGAATAATTCATTTAAAAAATTGAAAATTCCTCCCTCAGATAGATGTTCTCCCAGAAATTTTGTCCGGAAAATTAAAAAAAGGGAAATTTTATCCAGAACGTTTTATCTGGGGAGAAACTATCTGACTACCGGCCCTCGCTCCGATCTTATCTCTTGACATTAGAGCACCCAACTATTCACTCAATACCTTATCGTCGATATCATGAAAATCTGTAAATGGAGTGATCAATTACGATATCTGTGACAATTACGATGAAGGGACAGATAAAATACCCAATTTTGTCGTTCGAAGTTCCCAGAAAATGATTATGATTTTTATCAGGAGATTCCATGACATCGAGAGTAGCATTCCCGCTGACAAGCTCGCGAAATTCCTGACAAATATTTGCTACATTTCATCTGCATTCCCACGATGAAATGTCTTAATTATGAGCTACCCCCCGCATCAAAAGATAGCTGTGTTGACTAGTCACGTCTTGCAGCACCACATATCAATTGATTACTCAATTGTATCAAGTGTATCAATTGTATCACTTTCAGAAACGCTGGCGTGAAATAGCCAGTTGTGCTCGTGATTCAGGCAGTCATTGACGCAAAGAGCTTCCGTGCAGATGGATCGATTCATTATCATTACTCTTCGATTAAGCGAATGAAATAACTATGACTACCACATCGAAAATTTCTACCAGCCCGAGGGAAAAAGTCTGGCCGCAATGGATTGCTGCATTGATAAGTAAGTAATCCCCAAAAATGAAATATTATCACAACATTAAGCAATCAATTTCCCTCTGCAGTTCATATATTGTCCCTTCTGGTGGGTCTCGTCAGCGGATGGACCTCCCCGTTTTTGGCGAAATTGACGAATGGAACTGAGACATTGACGATTACGAAAAACGAAGCGTCCTGGGTAGCTTCGTTGTTCAGTATAACTCGACCAGTTGGTGCAATAATAGCAGCCGTGATAGTCCACAAATTCGGCGCCAAAAAGGCTGTCTTATTAAACGGCATACCTCACGCCCTAGCATGGGCTTGCTTCCTGATCAATGAGTCAGTTCCATGGATTTATACTTCAAGACTACTGAGTGGTTTCGCAGTAGGAATGTATTACAGCACTTTCCCGCTGTACGTCGGCGAGATATCTAACCCGAAGATCAGAGGTGCTCTGATAAGTATGATCGCCCAGGGATTGGCAATCGGAACTCTGCTGGGGAATCTAATCGGTGCATATGTAAACATGATGACCTTTGCCATCATTAGTCTCATGATGACTGCCACATTTTTCTTTGGATTTCTCGTCTTCCCGGACAGCCCGCATTACTTGGTTAAGGAAAATAGGATAGAGGCTGCCGAGAAATCATTACAGTTCTACAATCGTCGGGTTGATGTGACTGCTGAGCTAGAGTCGTTGAAACTGTTCACGGGAAAACAACATAAGTTATCAATCAACGAATCGTTTAAACAGTTATTTTCACCGATAAACAGGAAGATTGTGATGATGGTTAACAGTGTTTATATCTTTATGCAACTGAGTGGTCTCTACACAATTAGCCTCTATATGGAGATCATTTTGGCCGATCTCAGGGTCAATGTCATTGCCCCTTCCTTAATTGTCGTGTGTGTGGGATTGGTTGGGTTCGGCTCTGGTTTGATTTCAATGTACACGAACGATCGGGCCGGAAGACGCAATATGCTTGCTATCTCCAGTTTTGGGGTCTGTGTCACATTGTTTCTTCTAGGTCTCAATCATCTTTTGCTTGATATGGGGTACGACAGTTCAAATGTTCAGTGGTTGAGTATCGTTGCAATTGTGCTGTATCAGTTCTTCGTGTGCATTGGAATCATCCCTATTCCGAGCTGTCTTATGAGCGAAATGTTTCCACCACAGCTGAAGGAAATCGGCACGTGTATGGCTAATGTGACTTCTGCTCTTTTTGCTTTTATAACAAGTAAGAGCTATCAGCCTTTATTGGAAGCTACGTCCAAAGAATTCGTTTTTTGGTTCTATTCACTTCTTGTTTTTGCCATGTTTGTCTACACTATTGTGGTACTTCCAGAGACTAAGGGTAAATCATTGCAGGAGATCCAAGAAATGTTGATGAATTGTGATAAGACAGTTGTTAAGGAGTCTGATGAGATTGAGAAAAGTAATTCCCTGCTTGATGATCCCAATAACACGAAGAAATGAATGAATTTGGTAACAACTGAGAGAATGTGTGGTACGTAATTACTACGCAAGAGAGTCTGGAACATGCAAATTAATGTTTCTTTCACTATATTCAGGGATTTATCAAACGGTCTTTCTTAATCGCGAGAAAATAACGAAAAATGTACAAACAACATGTGAATGTCAACAGACGTAACTCTATGATGAGTTACCTAAGTGTAAATAGACTAGAACGAGATAATTCAAATTCGCTCAGACTTTAGTTTTTGATGAATGTCTCGGAACGGAAAAATTACTAAAAAAATTTTGTTGATGACTTCTTTGCCGCTCCACAAGAAGGGTCATGATGAAAATTTTCAATTTCTCATCATTTTAGAGATAGTTATAAAAATTGACTCCAATATTCAACTGATTTACCTTGGATGCCTGTTTGGTGTTCTGAGATGTTGTAGAGAGTACCAAGTTGACTAAACGACTAATTGAATTTTCGAAGAATATCTCTGAATCTTATAGAGATGGTGAAATCTCCCGAAGGGCTTTCCTCTGAAGAAGGAACTAGTCTATACAAAGACGATTCAAATCAATTTACCTCATCTACTTTTGTTTTAATAACTGAATTGATTTGAACGAGGGGCAATCACTGATACTGTATTAGATAATAGAAGTATGATGTCGAGGTGACGAGCCGAATAAGCATAATGATCTGTATTAACAATTGCATATTTAGAATAAATAGGCAAATTCTAGAGTCAACGAAATCTCTTTGTTGCCCCCTGTGAATTTAATTTGAAGTCGAGAAGAGCTTGGAGGATAAGTTCCACCAGACTCTTGGATTTTATTTCGAAATGATCAAAATGAGAACAATCGTAAAACTGAACTAGCTGATCACTAGCATTCTAAGCACCGTGTTGTAATGGCCCAACTTATTATCCTCGACGAAATATCTTTTCAAAAAAATGTGACAAAATCATCAGGACAAATTTGGTTTAACTTAGAATAGTTCATAGGTTCAAACATTCAAAAATTATCATTGAAAAAAAGATCACAACCCGTGCAAAAATAAATCTCCACCAGAAGAATTCTCACCGAATTCTGGAGGAGACTTCTAAAAGACTGCTAATTATGAAAATAATGAAAATTCCGTAAAACTTAAAAAAAGATGCAATTCCAAAATGTCTTTATTGCCACTTTCGGGATAGTGATGGATTCCAGGCCATCTAGTAAAATATTCCGAGAATCAGTACCTGAAGATATTTTGAAACCGGTGTTTTTTGGTGGAGATCATATCGCACATCTTTTTCGCAGATAAAAGGCGGAGAACCTAGTCTTGTTAGTTTTTCTCACAAAGTCAAGCACACATACGTACTGATAGATGTGATTAAATAATGAGATGGCTGTTTCAGCAGAGTAGAACTTCCTGATGTTTTAATTTCTTATCTATGCGTTATCGCATTACCATATGGGGCGGTTGTTGCAAGTATGATGAAACTTGCTACAAAGCAGTCTTCACTTGAATTTGACCCCCTCAGTATGACATAAATTGGCGACAATCGTTCCTTCAACGGAGCCGCACAACTATTTCGGGAGGAAATAAGTGACCTTAATATTGAGAAGACATAACAAGGCCTTTTAGAGATGTCAAGGATAAGTGCTCTGTGGCCGCAATGGTTCGCTGGACTAGTAGGTAATCAGTTCTCCATCAAATTCTAACAGTTCATCAGTCGCAAAAATCACAGTTCTCGTGTTTTGTCTCGCACTTTTGAACAAGGCTTACTCCTCATCTACAAGAGAAAAATGTTCTCTTGTCTTGTCTTGTACTCTCGTGTTTTTTTTTTTGGGTATAACAAAAATTTTGTAAGGATATTTTCCCGGGTTTTTCACCCAGGAAAAATCCAAACTACTTTTTAGCCGTCTCTATCGCTCAATAGTCGGGCGCCAGCCGAACCTTCACGGGAGGTTCGACGAAAACCCTCCTCTGAGGTAAACTCGTCCACTCAGAAGACTTTTTGGCTGGACAATGGGTTGCCCAGCTAACATCAGCGCGATACGGTAGAGTGGGCGAGGTCCACCAGGAGTATTACCGTCACATTCCACGGCCTTTGCAAGCCGAGGATTATGCCTCGCGGCATAAGTTCCCTACTGAATGGGGTTCATCTTTCCTCCGGAGGGTCTCTCGACTCCTCCGGCATGCGTCCTCTCTCCAAGTATTTCTACTCGGGAGAGTTTCCGAGCTA